ACCTGATCCCTTCGACACCTCGGCTACCACATATTTTTATAGGAGTCTTTTTCTTTTGTGTAAGTCAGGTGGATTTTGGCTGAAAGCAGAGAATCCAAGAAAAATGTTTTCTTGCAAAGGCATGTGTCTATGTAGATTGCCATGGATGGATATCATTGAAAAGAATGGCGATTCCAGAACATTCCCTTGTGTTCATGTGGAACCCGTACATGGATGAAGAGGGAGTCATTCTAGTAGAATAAGGGACTCCTGCAGAAAAGGTGTGTCAGGATTGTATCCTCTCACGGTGTTTATCCAATCTGTATGCTGATCAAGTAATCAGAGAAGCTGGATTATATGGAGAGGGCAGTGGCATCAGGATTGGATAAAGGTTATTAACAACCTGAGATATGCAGATGACACAATCTTGCTTGCTGGACGTGGGGAGGACTTGAAGCGCTTGCTGATGAAGATCAAGGATTGCAGCCTTCGGTAGGAAGGCTCAATGTAAAGAAAACACAACTGGACCAATAGGTAACATCATGAGAAACATAAAAGGTGGAAGTTGTCAAGGATTTCATCTTACTTGGATCCACAGTCAATGCTCAAGGAAGCAGTAGTCAAATCAAATGATTTATTGAATTTGGTAAATCTGCTGCATAAGACTTGTTTGAAGTGTTGAAGAGCAAGGAAGTTACTTTGAGGACTGAATTGTGTCTGACCCATACTTTGGTGTTTTCATTTGCCTCATATACATGTGAGAGCTTACACTCAATAGGAAAGACAGGAGAAGAATTGATGCATTCGGATTATGGTGCTGGTGAGGAACAGTGAAAGCACCAGACTGCCCCAAACTAAACAACTCGATTTTGGAAGAAGCACAACCAGACTGCACGGTGTCTCCTGTGCTTTAGACAGGTTTTCACGAGAGGCCAGTCCCTGGAAGAGGGCATCATGCTTGGTAAAGAAGAAAGTCATTGGAAATGAGGAAAAGCATCAAGGAGATTGATTGACAGTGGCTGCAGCAATGGGCTAAATTCTGACAGTTGTGAGGATGGGGCAGGCCTGGGCAGCGTTTTGTTCTGCTGTGCATCGCTGAGAGTTGGAACTGACTCACTGGCAGCTAACAACAGCCTGCTTTCCCTTCTTAGATACTTAAGGATGGGATCGATGGTTTTCACATAGGTGTATGTGTAGGTTTCTAAAAAATTGTCAGATGCCACCTCCTGCTCCAGTGATTGGGCCATTGTGTGTACTTCTACTAACAATGCATCCAGAGTTCTAGTTGCTTCACTTTGCCAACATTGTTGCATTATAAGCCCTCTGTAATTTCAGCCTTTCTGGTAGGTATGTAATAGTGTGCTATTGTGGCTTTAACTTACATTTTATGTCTAAGTAATGATGTCGAACACCTTTTAATGTACTCACTGGCCAAATATATATATATGAAAAGTGGCTATTCAATTTTTTTGCCTATTTAAAAAATTGGGTTTAAATAATTTTATTATTGAGTCGTAGGAATTTTTTTATATATTCTGGAAACATCTTTTTAAAAAAATAATTTTATTGGGGGCTCGTACAACTCTTATCACAATCTATCCATCCATCCATTGTGTTAAGCACATTTGTACATTTGTTGCCATCATCATTCTCAAAACGTTTGCTTTCTACATGAGTCCTTGGTATCAACTCCTCATTTTTCCCCTCGCTCCCCACTCCCTCATGAACCCTTGATAATTTATAAATTATTATTTCATCATATGTTACACTGTCCGACGTCTCCCTTCACCCACTTATCTGTTGTATGTCTTTTTTTAAAGATCATTTTATTGGGGGCTCTTACAGCTCTTATAATAATCCATACATCAATTATATCAAGCATATTTGTACATGTGTTGCCATCATTACTTTATAAACATTTTCTTTCTACTTGTAGTCTTGGTATCAGCTTCTCTTTTTTCCTTCCCTCCCCCTCTTCTACCCTGGTGAGCCCTTGATAAATTATAAATTATTATTAATTTCATATCTTACACTGTCCACTGTCTCCTTTCCCCCAAGGTTTGGAACCATCTTTTTTAGTATACATTTTTTTTCTTTTAAAGGTATTCTTTCCTATTCTGTGACTTCTCTATTCACTTTTGTCAGCAGTTTTATTAGTATATAATCTATTCATTTTAAGTATTCATTTGACTTTTAAAAATTTAATATCCTTCCATTTTTTAGGGTAGTTTCAATTTATAGAAAGAACAGATAGAGCTCAGAATTCCCACAGACCATTGCCTCCTTCCCTGAAAAGTTTCCCTATTATTAACATCTTGCATTAGTATGGTATATGTGTTATAATTAATGAATCAATTACATATTAATTAATGATATGCATAGTGGGTTATATTTTGGGCTGCTATCCACAAGGTCAGCAGTTTAAACCTACCATCAGTCTCTCTCTGGGAGAAAAAAAAATGAGCCTATCTCTTCCCATAAAGATTTATAGCTTCAGAAACCCTAAGAAGCAATTGGGTTGCTCTGATTCAGAATTGCCTCAATGGTAGTTGGTTGGTTTGGTTCGCCTTTCCTTCTGCATGATGCTTGTGTACCTTTTGTATACAGACAAAGGTATGTGCAAATGCTTGACCAAATTGCCCAGCAGATGATCGACTTCTACAAAGATTTGGTGACTCAGCGGATAATGGACCAGCGCATTTTAGAAGAATTATACAATTTCAAGAATGTTATTGAGGAACTAACCAGGTAAGACCTGTGATGATCTTAAATACAAAAACAAAAGTCAGAGCCATAACTCTTCAAGACAGTAAAAACTATTTAGGGAAAGTGGATTGCTTAAAGCTGGAGATTCTTTGGTCCTCCGTTCATGGTTAGCAGGAGACTAGAAGAACTAATTATAGTTTAGATATAGATGTAGAGAAATAGGTTTTATTAGTTAGCACAAAACTGATAGGGAAGCGATTCTTTCTCTTTTTTTGGTAGAGATGTTAATTATCTTAATTAGGTTATAAAGTAGGGCCATGTTTATGGATGTTAAGGTTCAACAAAGAATAAGCTTATTAGGAAGATGATGAGCTAACTAGATATACTATCAGGACCTGTACAACAAAGACTTGAGAAACCAGTCAACTAGCGATGGGTGGTAATCCCAGAAGGTAATCCAGAGCTTCAAAGGACAGGATAAAGAAGTAGATCAAATACCAGAGAGAAGAAGAGATTGAACAAACACCAAAACATGTGAGCAAGGAGTGCTAAACTGCCAACCCCCACACAGTGTGGTTTGAATTATTATAAGTAGCTTTTTGATTGCAGCAGGAACCAGAAAATTGGCTTTGCTCACCACGCTGATTTATTTAATGTTCTCTATTTCACTTCTCTAACTTTTAGCATCCATTGCAATGACTACATAGAGCTTATAGATAAAACTCGTGATTAAGTAAGTTAACAGGTTATAATGCCGGTGAGAGATGCTCAAGATAGTTGTTTATCAGGACATGTTGCAAAGTTATTTCACATCTACTCATAAATGCCCAAGGGAGCATAGCACCCTGCTGTAAACCTCAACCCAAAGGCAGTTAGCTCAAGTTCAGGAAACCCAGCTCCTTGAATTAAGTGCCCCAAAGCACCCCACTCCAGTGAACCTCAGCTTACAGGCACTCAGCTCCATTTCCATGGTCCAGCAAATCCATTGAGTGGCCAGAGGCACTCTACTCCACAGTCCAGCCTCCTGCACAAAAGTAAGAAGCTCCACTTGGTTCATGGATGGGAAATCCACTTCTCTGTTCCCTGTTCTGGTTTCTGGTTCTGCTGCTGCTCTGATGTAGTTGTCATGTGGATTCAAGAGGTTTACTCTGCAGGGATTGTCAGAGGACTCATTCCACCCTGGATTTTGCTGGCAATGAGACACCTCCTCCTGCTTCTCCATACGCTCATTTTATACACTGCAGGATGGCATTTCCAAGAAATCTTGTTCATAATTACACACAGGTGAACCCTATCTGTATTTTCCCCCAACTTCTCACCAGACTCAGGTAGAAAAAGGTCCTTTGGTGGGAGTTAGACACTCTGGCTAGAAGGGCCACATTAATTCACTCCCCCTGCACACATCCACGACTATACAGAGCATCCACATTGGTGTTTTGTGACCAAAGACATGTGACTTCTTTACTTTACCCAACCTTTCCATAACTAGAGACATGGTCCCTCACCCCACCCACCTGATGGCTGGTTAAACCCCTACCCTCACTGCCAGTGTTGTGCTGCTGCATTTTTATTGAATCTTCATAATTTTATCTCCTTCCTCTTTCCTACTTTTTCTTTCCTTTTTGTTCTTCCTCTTCTTTTGCATATATATGTGTGTATAGTTCCACTATGTGTATGTGTGTATACACACATATACATATATACATATTCATATATTAGTGTGTATGTGTGTATGTATGAAGCCCCGGTGGCATAGTGAGCTGTGTGTTGAGCTGCTAATTAGAAGGTCAGCAGTTTGAAACTACCAGCCGCTCTGCAGGAGGAAGATGAGGACTGCTATGTCTATTCCACTAAAGTTAGAATTGACTTGATGGCATGAGAAGCAGTAGTATATGTATTTTTGATCCTGTAGAGCAGGCAGCTCCCCCCCTTCCCTCTCTTCCCCTGTCCCCCACAAGCTTAATAGCACTTGTCCCTGCCCCTCCCTTCTCAGTGGTGGATACTCCTGGGGAGCAAGCAAGTGCTACATTTCCATGTGGGTGGGTGTGGTGACTAGCACTTTTGCCTCCTGCAGTGTGGTACTTTCTCTCTTTTTTTTAACATCTTTTTTTTTCCTACATCATAATTCTTCACTCTTATCCCCTAATATTTTTGCTTCTTTCTGTTTCTTTTTCTTCCTTTACCTTATCATTATCCTTTATCTCGGGGGTTAGTACCTGGCCCCCACCCAAAGTGAGACGTGCCTGTCCCTGCCCCTTTATGGACAGCTGTGTGCACTCTGCTGGAGTGCACATCTTGCTCCACTACAGTTTTGTTGGCAGATAACATTTGAACTACGTCCTCCCCCTTTATTCCATTTTTCTTAGCTCATCTCTCATCCCCCGACCCATATTTTTTTTCTGTTCTTTCCTCTTGCCTGTTTTTTTTTTTTTAATCTGTCTGAGCAGGTGTTCTGCCCCCCACCCCTTGGTGTTCAGTAGTTCCTTCTCTTCTACATTCCACAGAGTGGGGTCCACATTTTTGTTTCAGCCTTATTTGGTGGCTAGTATTTGTGTCAGTATTGTGCTACATTTGTTTTATTCTTTTTCTTTTTAGTTATCCCCTACTTCCCCTACCCCCCTTTTTTTCTTTCCTCCTTAAACAACATTTTTTTTTATCTTTCCTTAGTATGCAGGAGTCAATGATCCTACCCAGACTTACCCACCACACCTGCTGCCCACACATTCCAGCACCACCGGCTTGATGATCTGCACAGCCTGCCCTTAGCTGCTCTGTAGAATCAGAGATCAAAGATTTGTGCCCACACTCCCACTACTGTTCTTTGGAGAAAGGTGGTGAGCACTCAATTGTTGCTAAACTAATGGCCAGACTAACATACCCATCTGCAAATATTAAAAAAAAAGAGAACAAAAAAATCAGAGAGAAGCAAACCAATAAATTAATACAATAACATTATAGTATCTTGGCAACAACCAAAAAACAAACCAAACTCTACCATCGAATCAATCCTGACTCATAGCAACTTGTCTTTAGTATGATTTGTGGCCCAATTGCAGGGTCACTATGAATTGACAATAACAGATGAGTTCAAATCATGCTAAAAAATAAGACGGAGCAAAACTGGACAAGATGACTCAAACACGTGATCCAGATTAAGGGCCGGAACATCTTTCAGAGAAAGAAAAGAACCTTTGGAACTCCCTGATAAGGGATTAAAAAGGATTATATTGAGGTTCCTTCAACAAATTGAGAGACAATTTAAAGCAACCACAGACAAAAATAAAGGAAAACAAAGATAAAAACTAGAAGAAATAAAGTAAAGCAATATAAGATCAATTTGCAAAATAAATGGAAAATTAGAAACCATACAGTGAATAGAAATCCAGAAGACTAATATGGTAATTGATTCAATGGAAGACCGAATTAGCATGGCTGAAAGCAAACCTTAATCCTAACACATTAGAGGGAAAACAGAAGACGAACAATGATAACAGCAAACACCAAAAGACCATCTAAGAATTTTTAAGAGAAATACTTTCATTTGATTGGAATTCCAGATCAGGAAGAGACAAAACCAAAAACACCACAGAGAAGCTTGTTAAAGATTTGTTGTAAGAAAACTTCCTTAATGCCAAGAAAGACAAGAAGATCTGAATCAGGAAGTTCAGCAAACTCCAGCTAGGCTAGACCTCAACAGAAAACTACCCAGACATGTCATGATCAAACTTTCTGAAGCTAAAGATAAAGAAAGAATCCAGAAAGCATCTGAGGAGAGACAATTTCCTACAAAGCCTTAACGTTCGCTAGGGAAGGTGGTGGGGGTGGTAGGTGAAGGGAACATAGAAAGGCATGAGCCATTGGGAAGCCCTCTGGACGCTCAGTGGGGCAGAGCCCTTGCTGGGGCACAGAGCCCAGTGCCCTGCTCTGGCTGGCTGTGCACTGCAGAAACAAAATGTAAAACAGTAACAAAGTGAACTCAGTGTAGAAAAAACGTATGAACAAAGAAACCACATATACATAAAAATACAGCAAAATGACAGCAGGAAATTCACGTTTATCAATAATTTTACTAACTGTAAACATTAAGTACATCAGTCAAGTGGCAAAGAGTAATTAACGCATTCGATGCATTCGGCAGTCTCCACTTACCAACAACACAATATGGACTCTTCGCCAGTGCACATGGAGCATTCTCCAGAGCAGTCCATGTGCTAAGCCACAGAACAAGGCCCATGGGAGGAAGTGGGAAGAATGCTGTTGCACTATCCATATCATAAAACAAAATGGGTTTGAATTCTTTAAAGCCAATTTTCTTTCTAAACTTTCATACAAACCATAATAAAATAAATAGAAAGCATTATTAGAGACCAAAACCAAAATCAAACCAAAGAGCAAAGGCAGTATTGAGCAAACAAGCTTAACAGTCTTCTAAGTTGACATGGCAAGAATGCGGAGGACAGGATAATCACGTCAGGAGGTGGGTCCCAGTGACCGGAAACCCCTGGCTCATCACGTGCCCCCAGTCCAGCCTAGAGGGCCTCCTTTCTGTCTCTTAGACAGCAAGATTCTACCAAACTTTCAACGACTTCGTCCAGAATGTGCACGAGAGTTTTTTTAATTTAGTTTATAAATAGGAAACATGGAGAAGTACATATGATAACTGAAAATATACCTGACTATAAACTTGACTTTCTGGATTTTTATGCTGTGTAAGTTCCAAGTATGAGAATAGAATTTCTCTTATTTCAGGGAGCTGTGTCTGGTTCGGGAACACGATATAAAATTAACAAAAGAAGCAGACAAGGCCCATAAAGATTTGGCACAGGCTCTTTTAGATGCTGAAAAGAATGCCAAGTAAGTTATTTTAAATTCATGTAGCTTTTATAGATATATGGGAGAAAGAAGAGGTTTTGTGGGAATTCTATAGCATGTATTACATCTCTACATGAACTTCTGCTAAAACTATCCCAATATACTTCCATTGATATGACCACACTTTTCTTTTTACCAAAGTACGAACTCCTCCTTAAGAGATAGATAAATAATTAAGAGCTACTCTATTTTATATTGGGATTCTCTGATGGCACTGTCAGGTGTATGTTTGACTGCTAAATGCAAAGTTGGTAGTTCAAGCCCACCAGCCACTCCATGCGAGAAAGATGAGCCTATCTGTTAGCATAAAGATTTCCAACTTTGAAACTGCTATCTTGGATCACCATGAGTTGGAATCGGCTCAATAGCAGTGGTTTTATTTGGGGAAGGGGGCGAGAGTTGAAGCAGAATAGAGCCACCTTGTCTAACATAATTTGTAACCCTGAAACCAATTTCAATAACTAAAGGTATTACGGATGTCCTAAAGTAGCCAGCATGTGAAATAGCCCACATGACACTAACTTAAAGTTTTCTTTACCTGAATTTAATTGCTGTCTCATTCTTGGCAGAAAGAAAATAAAGCATGATCTTTCTCTTGGAATCAGATGATTAGTTTTAGCATTATTCGCTCTTTTGAATGCTGTTTGCAGACTGTAACTTTGATGACTTTCTAGATCGAAGTATAGAGAGCCAGTGTGTGTAGCATAGAGATAACTGCTGTATAATCCTAGGAAAGTCACTAAACCTTCCTGGTCCTCTCTTTTTGTGTGTATCCGGGATTATAATGGTACCTATCTTCCAGGACTGTTGTGAGGATTGAGGTCATTTATGTAAAGAACTTAGAATAGTGTTTAGCACTTCGACAGTGTTCTATCAGTATGAGCTATGGCAAAAAAGGCATGGGAGCCATATCTGACGTCCTATGGCTACACAAGGGAGAACCCAACTCCTAATGAGCTTAAGGCCTACTCCGCAAGCAAAGGGCAGACATACCTCCACCCTTCACCCTTCTTGATCCTATTCATACATTCCTTCCATAGCAATCTACTTTTCTGCTCAGTTCGATATTCCGTTTCAGTAGCCACACAGACAATACTCAGAGTTATAGGCATTTAGTAGGGCAATTAACAGGTCACCACAAACCAGGATCAGAAAATATGAAGGATATAATAATTGGTCCACAACACCACATCTCTCTCCAGCCCTCAGTCTCTCAGCTACTCTGGTGGGCCAGGAGGCTCACCTGCCACCCCACCTCACAGTCTCAGGTCTCAGGGTCCAACCCCTCTGCTCTGTCTTGGCATGGCTCCTTTCCTCTTTCCCAGAGCAGCTGGAGGTTCAAAGCACCTACCTTCCAGTTATCAGCCAAGAGCTTAACCGCTATGTGACCAGGGCTCTTTTGTTGTACTATACATCTTGGAAATACCTTCTTGTGTGAGCATTTCCCAGGGACATTTCCTTAGATGCAAAACTGCTAGGTCATACAATATGCATAGCTTCATTCTTACTAAGCCAAATAAGCCACTGCCATCACGGTCATTCTGACTCAGTGACCATTTAGGGTAGTGGAGAACTGCCCCTTTGGTTTCTGAGGCTGTAAATCTTTTTATGGGAGCAGATAGGCTCATCTTTCTCTTCTGAGAAGCGACTACTAAGTTCAAACTGCTGACCTTGCGGTTAGCATCCTAATGTATAAGCCATAACAATACTGCGGCTTTTAAAAATTTTACTAGATGTTGCTAAAATGCTCCACAACATAGTTGTGCTAGTTTATTCTCACATCAGGGTATGAGAGTTCCCATTTCCCCATCTGATGGATATAGGGGATTATATGGTTTTCATTTGTATTTTTCTAATTAGTGATATTGGCGAGTCTAATTCCTTCATAGATTTTAGTGAATTTACAATCTTAAGTTTTTATTCTATTTTAATGATTTACAAACTTCATATGTAAAAGACAAGGAGAGACATACAGTTTCTGATGCAACTAATGAACTCAGCCTTTGTAGCTTGTAGCTTGTAGCTTGTGCCATTGTAGTGCAAAAGTAGCCAAGAACAATGTGTTACCAGATGAGCTTTTTGCAGGTCTATATAAATTTGAGCATTTGGCTCTTTTGATAAGGAAGATGCTGAATCTCCCAACAAAATGGATTGACACAGTGGCTGCATCGATGGCCTCAAACATAAGAACGATTGTGACGATGGCATTGGATCGAGCAGTGTTTTGTCCTCTTGTGCAAAGGGTTAGTAGTAGTTGGAACCCCCTTGATGGCGCCTAACAACAGCATGTTGAATCTGTATAGATCACTTTGAATACTCTTGATATCTGAAGAATATTAAATCTTCTAGTCTATTATCATTGAATGTTTTTCCATTTATTTAGATCTTCTTTAATTTCTTTTTTTTAATCGTTTTATTAGGGGCTCATATGACTCTTATCACAATCCATACATACATCAATTGTGTAAAGCACATTTGTACATTCATTGCCCTCATCATTCTCAAAACATTTGCTC